GCAGGAGACAATCCTAGGGCCTGGCCAACAGATGGCTCTGGGACACCCCTGAAGGACAGTATGAAGGGCACTGTCCAGGTGGGAAGATTAGTGGGCACTGATCCTGGCGGTACATTCTGCATGGTAGGAGACATGGCTAGACAAGCTCCTGTATGCCAATTCATGGTCTACAGCTAGCAGCTGCATCACCAGCAACCAAGCACTGAGGAGGAAGTGCAGGGCTGGAGCTCTAAAGAGCCAGCAAAGGAAATGAAGCCGCGTGGGTCCCATCCGCGGCCGCTTACATCACGTGGAGGGCAAAGCAGCCTGTGGATGCCAGGAGACCAGGTAGCCTCCTGGGGCCTCAGGTCACCAGCCCAGTGGCTCCTGGACAAATGGTCCCTGCTGCAGGGTGGGAGGTTGTGCCCTCACCCAGGCTGGCTAGGTCACGGCCACTGCAGTGAGTGCCAACATGGCAGCCAGAGAGATCCACACAGAGCCCCCAATCCAGCACGAGGTGGATGACACAGGACCACTTCCAACAAGGAAGAGGGCACGTCCTGGCCTTTCTGGAATAGACACTTACTCTGGATATAGATTTGCACGCCATGCTTCTGCCAAAACTCCCTCTGTAGACTTAGTGTGCCTGCTCACCACCACAACTCCCGTGTGGACTTACAGTGTTCCTATTCACCACCACGACCCCCGTGTGGGCTTACAATGTGCCTGCTCACCGTCAGGGCATACCATGTGTCTTCACTTCTGACCACACTGCCAGCCAAGTGCAGCAACCCGGGTTTGCGGAAGCCACGGACCCTGAAAAACTGCCCCCTTCACCACCACCCCCCCCGGCGACACAAGCAGGCAGTTCCGGCTCCCACCAGTGCAGGACTGGGCAGCTTCTCCAGGCTGTCACCAAGGGGTCCATGCAACAGTACCACCCCCTACTGACCTAGTGACACACTGAGTTCTGTGCCACCACATCACGCTCTGCTGGCCTCAAGGTGTGGAGGGAGCACCCACCAGGAGACACAAGCTCCAGCGAGTGGCTCCTTCCCGCCTCACTACAGAGGTGCCTCAGCTCACCAAGCTGCCTGACAAAGAGAAGTTGGAGCTGACTGCAGTGACAGATCAAAGCCAGGAGACACCAGAATGCTGCCCACAGCAGATGTGGCGGTGACTGGCCCACACCTTCCAATTCTCTTGGTGTTCCCATTCTTTTTTTTTAATTTGTTTAATCCTAGGGCTTGAACTCATGGCCAGGGCACTGTCCCTGGGCGGTTTTTGCCCTAAGCTAGCACTTGACCACTTGAGCCACCGCGCCACCTCAAGTGTCTATTCCAGAAAGGACAGGACACAGCCCCTTCCTCCGTGGAAGCGCCCCGTGTGGTCTATCTCCGTGAAAGCGCCCTGTGTGGTCTATTTCTGTGGAAGCGCCCCGTGTGGTCTATCTTATCATCAGCTATGGATGACCAGCCATCCCAAGAACATTTTACCAGAGATAAGAGTTTCTCAGACTTTCCTACCCTGGGCTGGCCAGCCTCCTGAGTAGCCAGGATTACAGGTGTGAGCCCCAGCACCTTTTATAGACTTTTGATTAGCAGAGTATCACGGGAGTGTGTGTGTCCCAGCCTCAGCAGGAAGGCTGCTTCCATGTCCCTGAGCAGACGTCCCTGTGGCTTCTGGTTTGTTCCATTCGTCACCAAGTGTGTGTTCCTTGCTGCTCTGTCCACACAAGCGTGTCTCTTGCCCGAGGAGAATGCGGATCACCTCTGATATGAGACACCTTTAATTTTAAAAGCACCAAAAAGGGTTGGTTTGCCTTGGAGCACCAAAGCGTGCTCTTCCGTCCGGGGTCCCCACATTTATGCAGTAAAAACTGCCTTGGTCCTTAGCCTTCCAGACTTCGATGCAGACATTGTTTCCAGAAGACTCCGCAGCCTCCACAATGCTAGAAGAGCTCATCCTGGCATTTAGTTTGGTTTGTGGCAGTACTGAGATTCTGTTTCAAGTGAGCAAATGGGAGCTCAGGAGTGTACAGGCACTGGCAGACATACCTGGGCTGGAGGGAGGGGGGAGGGTCGCGGCTGACCTGAGGTGTGAAGGGCTCTCTCCTCCTCCATAACTCTTTCATACATGACATGTTTACTGGTTGTGTTTTCAGTACTGGGGTTTGAACAGGCCCTTGCTGCTTCTTCAGTGTGCTCTACTTGCTGGTTAGCACTCTACCACTTGTCTGGCTTCTAGCCAGTTTTCTGTTCATTAGAGATGGACTAGTCTTGTGGACATGGCGGGGGGGGGGGGGGGGGGGGGGGGGGG